ACCCTCCTCAAGTGAAGGCCACCATCATCAGTGAGCAGCAGGCCAAGTCTTTGCTGAAGAATGAGAACACTCGAAAGTAATGATGGACGCCTTTCCTTCCTATCTGCTGCTTCCCCTGGGGGTCTTGGGCTTTCAAAGAAAGAGTCTTCCCTCCTAGGGAGAGATCTGGATATTAGCCATCCCCTCTCTGATGCCTTGTCTCTCTTCTGTCCTCCTAGTAGAGAGAGGAAAGGGGCATTTGTTAAGGTGTGGTTACTTTATTACCCCTTTGCTCTAGCCTTTCCTCTCCTTCCCTGTGTCATTGTTCTCTTAGAGCTGATCACTTTTCTGTCCCTGACTGTCCACTAGAGTGAGATAAGTTTTTACTCTACTTTTTCACTCCCCTAACTTAATTTCCAAACTTTTGCTTTGACCCCTGAAACTTGTGGGTCCTTGAGACTGTTTTATTATGGGGGAATCTCTTGTTTGTAGCGATTACAGTGGTGAGATATTGAACAATTGCTGTGTGATGGAGTATCACCAGGCAACCGGCACCCTCAGCGCACATTTCAGGAATATGGTGAGGAGAGAAGGAAAGACAGGGGGATGAAATCTGCCCATTTTGATGAAATCTTGGGCCGCGTTGTCATCTCATTTCTTTTTTTTGCAGTCCCTAAAACGCATTAAGAGGTCTGACCGTCGTGGTGCAGAATCAGTAACAGAAGAGAAATTTACAATCCTGTTTGAGTCACAGTTCAGTGTTGGTGGGAATGAGCTGGTTTTTCAGGTCAAGGTAAAAAAATCTCCCCTCCAACAATGTTGACTTAGTCACTTCTGAGTACAGGGCAATTGTCTTTTCCCCAGTACTTTGGTCACCCCCTTCCTTTTACTATTCAGGGATAGAACATGGTGAGATTATCTCAGAGATCCAGTCCTGAGGTCATTCAGAAGATAGTAACAAGACAAGCAGTAAGATGCCATAAGCAGATTGAAGCACAGACAACAGATGTAGCATGAAAAATTTCCCAGGCGATTAAAGTGTGAATTTGAGTGCTTGTTGCAGGTATTTTTAGGTGCTTATTATGTGATTCTTTTAAGGACCATTTCAGGTTCCTCCTTGTTATCTGTAAAACCTTGAGAAACTCTATATTCTTTGTCAGCTTCTAAGTTGCATCCCATTTCAAAAATGCCTGGCGCCCCTCGTGTTTACGTCAGAGCTAGGTAAAATCATAGTCTTTTTCCTAGAATAGTCCAGATGCGGTGTTCAAGGATCGTGGTTGCCTAGAGTTAATGTGAACGTTAGGGTGTTGAGATTTGTTAGTCAGAGAAGGAAGAAGAGAAAGTAATGGTTCTGGATTCTGAGATTTTTTGTTTGTTTCCTCTAGACCCTCTCCCTCCCTGTGGTGGTGATTGTTCATGGTAGCCAAGATAACAATGCTACAGCCACTGTTCTCTGGGACAATGCTTTTGCAGAACCTGTGAGTATTTTCTTCTGATGTGTCCATGTCTTAATGTCTTTAGACTGATGCCTTGAATCTCTTTGAGGAAATGGAGCCTGTTCCAATTAGAGGAATGTAGTATTCTTTTTTAAAAATTATTTTATTTCATTAAATATTTGCCAATTGTGGAATGTAGTATTCTTGATGAAGCCTGAAACTAGAAATTGGAGATAACTTTTGTGTTCCTTCTTTTAAAAAATTTTTATTGCTACTCATTTGCTTTGACATCACTTATATTTCTCAATATACTTCACTCCTCCCCCTTCCAGAGTGCCATTCCCTATAATATAGAATAAAACAGAGGAGCAAAATAATAGTTCAGCAAAACTAGCCAGTACTAGTTTTAGTCTAATGTTATTTGTCATATTCTGTGCTCTTGGGTTCCTTCTAGTTCCTTTTATGCTATAGGAGAAGATGAGGTCAGCATGGCCCCTACAGGGTATTTTAGCTAAAAAAAAAAATTACATCATGATTTCCTTCCTCTCTGAAAAAAGAAGCTCATAGTGTTTGCTTTTTAGATTACCTTTAAGGTTCTTTCCAGTGCTAAAATATGATTTTCCACTTCATTCCAGAGTCATTACCCAAGGAGTTTGTGGGCTGATATGTAGGACTGCTATTTGGAATTTCATGAGGGAAAGTTCATGCATTGTGTTTTCCAGCAGAAGTTGTTTCATAAAAAGTCTATCATCCTTGTTACAACTCCCTTAGCACGTATCCTGACCAGAGCCTAAGATGAAGGCTCTGCTTCTTCTGGGTAGAGATGTGAGAAGGATCACTTAGCATCCATGTCAGTGTTCTTTAAAATACAATTAACTCTCTTTTGCTGTCATCAGAAAGACTCTGTGAAGCAATTTATTGAAATACTTAAGGTGAACTCTCCTTTAAGATTTAAAAAAAAAAATACTCCGCCCAGAAACGGTCTTGTTGTGATGAGAAGACACCAGTTGTTTTCTGTAACATCTCTGAACAGAATGACTAGGTTCTTCCTCATTGCTTTTCCTGCTTACCACATAGCCTCAAATTCTCACATAATCTTGTCCAACCCATATCATTATTGGAAAAGTATATCCGTGAAATAGACCAGACAAGGAAGAATCAGAAATAATTTAACTCAGTCATTCAGTGTTCCATAAACCAAAAAATGTAAATTATCTAGGAAAGAACTCCCTATTTGATAAGAACTACTAAGAAAACTGTTGATGGGAATAATCAGTGTTGGAGAGTAAAAGGATTGACGTGTTAACTCATTGTTAGTGGAGCTGTGAATTGGTATAACTATTCTAGAAATCAGTTTGGCATTATGCACATAAAGTGATAAAAATGTCCATACCCTTTGACCTAGAGGTCCTGCGGCCAGGTAGTATACTTTAAGGAGGTCATTGACAAAAAGAAAGTCTCTATTTTTGCTGAAGTATTGATAACAGTTCTTTTTGGAGTACCAAAGAACTAGAAATAAAGTAAATAATAAATAAATAAATAATGTTAAAAATTAAATAAAGTAATAAAGTAAATTTCCATAGATTGAGAAAGGGCTAAACTCGTTGTGCCCCATGAATATATTGGAATATTACTATGCTGTAAGAAATTATGAACATGAAGAAAATCCCAAATGGGATCGTGAAAAGTAGGACGTGACTGAAAAATAACTGAACAATAAAATATAAGGGAGAAATTTTAAGGGCTTTCTGGAAGGAAGGTAAGGGAGAGATTTATACAGGGAGGATTATCTTTGCATTGTAAGAACAAAGGATATCAATAAAAGTCTATTTTTTAAAAGAAGTAAACAGTAAGATTTTTCCAGTATGTTTTAAGATATATATAACTATTACTTCACTTACATTATTTTCAGATACGTGCATATGAGTGAATGATGTGAGATCCAATCCATTGTACACTGGCTTTCTTCCCCACTAAGTGCCTTAGCTTAGTAGTTCTGCATACCCATATCCATTACGTCCCTATTCTCTCCATAAGTCTATCCCAAAAAAGCACCAGATTCTGGGTGTGATTTTGGCTTCTAGCTGTCTTCCTAGTTTTGAACTGCTCCTCTTACAAAGGGAGCCTACCCTGAAACAGCTTTCCTAAGTCATGTACCTAAGGTCAAAATGGGAACTTCTGAGCCTTGTGATACAGCATACCACTCAAGAAGTCTGAGAGAGTTATCCTAAGGCTTCCTACTTATACATAGATGATTTTTCTTCTGAAGGAGTTTGGTTAGTTAGCTGTTTCTTGCATGGTTCTGGATGTTTTACTATTGCA